GAGAGAGAGAGAGAGAGAGAGAGAGAGAGAGAGAGAGAGAGAGAGAGAGAGAGAGAGAGAGAGGATGGACAGCAGGAAGGTTGCGATTGGCAGATCAGGAATGTGGAGGGGTGGTATCTACATGGGGATGTGGGAGGCACGGAGAGAGAGAGAGAGAGTATCTTTTTTCTTTCATTTCACTCTTGGGGGGAGAGGGCGAGGAGGGAGAAGCAATCCTATGCTACCCCTTTGTTCCCACTTTTTTCTTTTTTGTTTGCCAAGGCAAGATGCACTCATGATGATGGTTGCAGCTGCTCATGAAAACTGTCCTCTTTCTGTCACACAACACCCACAGGCTGCCCTGTTTTTTTTCTTCTGTTTTTGTTTTATTTGTTTTTGGGTGCACTGTACCCAGTGCATATAGCACCAACCCATGTGCACATAGTATCACTTGGGCCACATAGTACCGGTCATGGTGCCGTTCAACCCACTTGCTAATGCCAAGGCCCTGCCCACAGTGTGCCGCCCAGTCCACAGTATGACTGCCCCGCATGGTGCCGCCCAACCCCCATCCCACGTAGCACCTCCCGAACCACATGGTATGGCCCACCCCATGTGGTATGAGCCAAGAACGCATGTGGTTCAGCAATGATAACAGTTTACCCCGTTAACCACTGGTGGAGCGTAGCTGCGGCGGGTCCACTCGTTTTTTTTAAAGATTTTTCTATGCTTCTTGCTTTTCTACTTCAAATTGTCCTGTCATTCATTGCTGTCTCAATTTGTTTGTTATCATTGAGTTGACCCTTGTGAGTGCATGTGAGAGATTTGATCGTGAGCTTCAGAAGTTGGGTTCATTTCACAAATGTTTTCTTAACCAAAAGAAAAGAAAACAACAATAACTCTGGGTAGAAGTGGCTTCAAATGCAAGCCAAACCAAATGAAGATCAACTTGGCATACGCACGTGCAAGACGGGAGCCTTACACAGTTCACCTTGCTGTTCATGTTGTTATTCTATTCTTGCAGCTGAAACCTGAATTTGTCAATTTTCTGGTCGAGAAGTTTGACACCGATGGTAGTGGGAAGGTTGACATCAAGGAGTTCAAGGATGACATTGAAAGAAGCATAGAGTGAGTGAGTCCAGACATGGGAGGGAGGGTATCCTTCAGTGCTTCCTCGCTCAGCCTTGTCATTTATTCCATGCAAGGGGAAGGGGGGGAAGGGGGGGAAAGAGGGGGAAAAGGGGGGGGAAGAGGGGGAAAAGGAGGGGGAAGAGGGGGAAAAGGGGGGGGAAGAGGGGGGAAGGGGGATCACTGTTGGCCAGCCCAACAAGAAATTGTCTGAAAAAATGAACTGCATCCTCCAGAGGTGCTTTATATGGCATAAATAAGTCTAGTTGGTAGTTGTTCATATATGCATCTGTTATTTATCTTAAATGAAAATGACAAAATGCTCAGAAAGCCAAAAAGTCTGTGATTCTTTTCAAGTTTCAAACAATGGGATTTTTGAATTTGAAGGGTATACGGATTTTCCGAAGGTCAAATCAAATATGATTTGATTCATCCGGAATAGGTGGAGCGGAAATGGATTAGTTTAGCAAGCATAATGACCCTGGAAATGAGGGATATGGAGGAAGAGAGGGATACGGAATATTCTTTGAATTTGTGAGTACCTCGGGAATGAACAACACTTCACTGAATCGAAAGCAAACATGATTATCTACACTTGGAAATGATGGATCACTAGCTGTACAAGAACACAACCTTCTCTCCTTTCGGCGAACCTGAAATTATACAAAAACAATCACTGGCACGTTCATTTTTTATCGCTATGACGGGCAAACATCTAATAAGCAGACCTTTCAAAACATTCCGAACTTCCAACTGAGCGATAAGCTTAATACATAGCTTCTAAGTCTTTTCATTTGGCACAGCTTGCAACCATACGTAATCCAGAGTCCAGACCACAAGCGTACTCCAGACTCCAGAGTTTTTGAATTTGCCGAACCATACGTAATCCAGACCACAAGCGTAACCCAGACTCCAGAGTTTAACTTTGAATTTGCCGAGGAGAACCCTTGACAGTATGCACCTCACACGGAAACCAGAACCCTTTTGAGCAAAAAAAGTCAAAAAAAAAACGATAGCTGAAAAGTTGTGATAAAACAGTTCAAAAAAGCCCATACCAGTTCCTCAGGGTCAAAAGGCGAATCGTATAGGTTCTTTCTTGACAACAGATATCTCAGAAGATCAGCCATAGGTTCCTTGGGAGCTAAAAATCCGAGCAGAACGGCTCAGCTATTTTTGGAAATAATGACAGAACCATCTTAAAACCACCCCCTAGCTTTCCTTAGCGGCTCTTTTCTGTGCACACAGATAAGGACTGAACTTCCAAACAATCATTCTGGATCGCCTCTGTTCCGGCTGGGAAAATGATTGCTTGATGCCTGTGGACACAGCTTATCATTGGCATTATGTGGGGAAAAAAGGCAAATGAGAACGGTCAAGCCGTTAGTGTCAGATAGGCTTGGGGGTCCATTCACATTCTTAAACCGCCAGTATCCCACCCACTCACCCACGAGAATGCACCGGTTAACAAAGGGCCATGGTCAGATTGGGCCTACCGAAGGTGGCCGGCCCCAGGGAGGGGGGCAAGGAAATTTTGAGTGTCCCCACTTTGGCAGTTTTTCACACTCGTCTCCTTCAACAAAAAACATCTGGAAAATCCACATAGGTAGGATACATGCCAAGGCATAAGGGAAAAGTATTGCAAAAAAGAGAGAGGAAATTGTTTTGCCTGTCAAAAATGTTTTGGGGCAAATGCCACGCATAGGGCTGCCACTGGCACACTGCCAGGCCTGACCTCCACACTGTTTCAGTTCTCCGTTGGTGGGCAAAAACAAGCGTTGGGAAAATGACCCGCGGAAGTACTGTGTGGTTTAAACGACCAGTACCAACCACATTTTCCGTACCCCCCGACCTCAAATGAATTTGGACAGGAGGGGCAGGCCGATTCGGCTTCCGCGACCACCCCAACCGGTAGGTAATGGTGGTTTAACAACTCTGTGCCCTCTGGATGGTCAATGATGAAGTGTAACAGGCATCATGCAGGACTTTGAGCAGTGTATGTTATAACGCATTGACATCTTGACAAGGCCTTTTGAGTCTTGACGCATTGCTCGTCGTCATCCTTTTTCTGCTCTTTTTTGCGGGTGGATACTCCCATGCTCAGGTTGACTGCTAAAGTACTGCATGTTTTTGAATTTGTGTATCACTTATGTGGGCAGTTTCTTCACCTATGGGAAATTCTTGGAGAGGCGATTCATAAATGACGACCAAATGGTATGTGTCGTCAACGTTGACTCTTGATTACTTCCATTTTTCCGACCAATCAAGAAGTCCCTGAGCAACAGGATAAATCCATGTGTCACCACTGCATCCAGGAAAAAGACAGCACCGAGGCCTGCAGCATCCGGGAATTTCTCTTGATGTTGGATCTTTTATGTATTGGGATAACAATCTCTTAAAATCGAGGATAGTGGGTTTCCCTACCATCAAGGGGAAGAGCGTGTGTGAGTTCCTCATGTAACTTCTTTTGACTTGCTGGTGGAATAGGAACCGGACTCATGCTCCCTAGAATGGGAAAGGAGCCAGAACCATAAGGTTCTGTTAGATTAAAAAAAAAAAAAGAATCGAGGGTATTCCCGGTATTGCAAATAGAATGGTGACTTGAAGTACCAGTACATGCCAGCTATCGACCGCGGGCCCCTTTTGGAGGCCGACAACTGCCGATTCATTTTATCTACGGTGCTCGGCCTCCTGAATTTCTGGAGAGGCTCAAAACAGGTTCTCCAGTTGCCTGGGGCTACCACTCTTCTTTTCTGTATATCTCTATTTCTCTCTCTCTATATATAGTACTAAAGATACACCCCCATATTTTTTGTCTCTTGCGACACTAGTCAGTAGTGGAGAGAAGGCCTAGCAGAAAGGGTTTCCCCTGCACCCCTCCTCTGCTGGGTGCCATGGCGGCCTTCTTATGCGATCTTCACGATGTTGACAACGGGGCGATCCGGTGTTTCTTTCTCGATTGGATTTTTTTAGGGTTGCTGCTCGGGATTGGGTCGATGAGGGTTCGAGGGTCGTGTTGGATGGGGCTAGTGTGGTTACGAGGGGTTTGGGGTGATGGGTGGGCAAGATTAGGAGTTGGCTAGTGGCGTGTGGTGGTCGGGTAGGGGGAAGGAAATTCCCTGTGGAGTGATTTCCCCCTTGCTTTCGACACGAGGACCGATTTGCACTTTGTGCCCCGCCTCATCAGTTCACCCTCCCTCCCTTAAGTGCACAATGATGCCTGTCAAAATTTTAGAAACGCAGCTGCATCCTGCTAGCCGAGGTCACCGACATAGGGTTTTGTGCAAGTCTTTGGGCTGGGGGATGACCAGGAGATAATTAGGATGATATGAAGATACCGGGAAAGAGCAGCCCTCAGATGGAAATTGGAATAATATCAACAATGCCTATGAGATAATGAGAGTGGGTGGTCTGCATTGTCATGATAATATTCGATCCCGTGTGACAGGAGTAACTCTTTTCAGCTTTGACTACCTCTCCCTTCGCACAGTGGCATACACAATGGACAATGATTGGTTGATGGGTTAAATAAAAAACCACATACGTGGGCTGGCCTTCAGCCGCTGGGGAGGGAGTCACGGATGCCTGTTAGTTGGCAGGATCCATACATCAATTAAGCTCGCCACACACCATAGAATGAACTGGAAGCATCTGAGAATAGCAAGGAGCATCTGGGATCAGGGTTTTATGGATTGAGTGACGTTCGCCTCCGGGAGTGCTCTCGGGTTAGGAGGGGGCCTGGGGAGTTTGCTCTCGAAGGAAGGATGATTGCTGATTGTAATTCTGCCATGTGGCAGGGACGAGGTGGAACCGTTTAGGGTGCAGGACTGTGGAAGGGCTGTGTGGCTGAGATGTTAAAATCGATGGGCAGTTAATCCCTCTGTGGAGGGCAATCAATGCTGCCAAGTGCCCATTAATTACAACCTACAACTGAAACTGCTATAACCATGGCTTCCTGCAGTGAATGTTAAGGGACGCTGGACCCGATTTCCAGCAGGTGCAGCTCCCCACCAATGGAACGGAGCCATCATGATGCGGAATGGGAGGGGTGTCTGCTCTTATCAGTGCCCCCACCATCCCCGCCACCGATGTGTTGAGAAAAAAAAAAGAGAAAGGGAGAAGGCCCTATCCCTCATGTCGTTTCGTCCCCTCACATGTTTGAATACAAGTACACATGGGATGAATACAAGCGCATAGGGGACAAATACAAGTTGCACCAGGAGTAGCAGAGCGAAGGTCCAATCCCTCACATACTTTCGGCCCCTCGCATAGATCATGGAAAGATACACCACCATTTTTTTTGTCTTTTGTGGCATCGGTGAGTAGCAGAGCGATGAGAATGAATCTTCTGCTAGAAAATGGAAAGATACACAGCAATATTGTGGTCCTTTGTGGCACCGGTGAGTAGGGGAGTGAAGGCCCTATCCCTCATGTTGTTTCGTCCCCTCACATGTTTGAATGCAAGGACATAGGGGATGCACTGGTAAGTAGCGGAGTGAAGGCCCCATCCCGCATTTTGTTTTGTCCTCTCGGAGGCTCAAATACAAGTACACAGGGGACGCGCCGGTGAGTAGTGGAGCGAAGGCCACCTCCCTCACGTCGTTTCTTTCCCTTGCATGTACAAGTACATCGGGCATGCACTGATGAGTAGTGGAGGGACAATGGCCCTATCCTATAAGGTGCTCGGACTCCAGACTGCTTTGGCCGAGTCGTTTTCTCGACTCCCTGGGAGGATCTGAGCTCAGGGCTGTCTGTCTACAGTCGACGGCTGTACCACTAAGCCTTTTGGTCTTTTTTTTTTCTTTTAGTTCTTTTTGTTTTTTGCTTAAAGGCGATGGCCTGAGATGTCATCATTGAACTGACCGCTTGTAGCTGCTTCAGAATTGGGGTGTTTGTACCAACTGGCCAACCTAGTTGGTACACCCCTGGACTATTGAAATACAGACCTGAGTTCAAACTCCGTTGAGAGCAGATGAGTAAAATACTACAATTCTGAACTACCTAGGGCCGGTCAGTTCAGATATCTCAAGGCCATTGCCCTTTTCGAAGAAAGCAAAAGGAGTGCAATGTACTCATTTGCCTCAGTCAGGTCTGTATTTCAAGTTTCAACAGTTCAGGGGTACATGGTCCTGCCTGGCCATGTGATGCCACCTGACCTTGAACTTTCGGCGATTATATTTTTCACCTGATTTGTTGTTACTCATGTCTGCATTCTCACTTCTGATATCTCCAACTGTTTTCACAAGCAACCTTCTTCAATTTACAGAACATGTTGATACTGCGCTGAAGATCAATGGCAAACGATAGCACTTCGTGTCCAGCAAGTCTTGTTGCACTTCGTACCTGAAGAGGCCTGGCATTTGCAACATTGATTTTGTTTGGTCTTCTTTTGAAAACAACTATACAAATCTATACTCAAAAAGTCTTTCCAAAAGGAAGTGAAAATACACAAAATCATTGGTCAGCGACGAGTTTGGAAGAAAAACATACATCATCAGCCAAGTCGTTTTTTTCCGAAAAGCAAAAGCCAGAACAAGGCAAAACACAATCCCCTAATGCCAGAAGCCACCAACACTTACTCCATAGTCGACTATGCTGCGCAATCCTATCAAAACCCTCTATGCATCCAAGTCTGGGCAATGGAGCTGACCCAACTGGTGGAGGCTAGGGCGTGCATGTTAAACTGTCTTCCTACTGTCCTCCCAACAGAGACAGGAATTGGACAAACGTCTTACGACCGATGACCTCTTGCACGCACTCAAATGGATGGAACACAAGAAGATCCCCCTGGGCTTGACTCCTTCCCCAAGGAATTTTGGCTACAGTGTTTTCAAAACCAGCCTGCACGAATATGTGCAGGCTGTTAGATTGGAAGGGACCTCTGGGTGCATGCTCAGCCAGGAGGTCACAACGCTGCTCTACAAAAAGGGGGAGAAGAATGACACCAGGAATTACCGACCCATCACACGTCTCCCCTGCCATAGAAGATGGTCTCCAAGGCCCTGACGAACAAATTGCTCCCCTATCTGCAGCACCTGATCCACCAGGATCAGACTGGCTTCATCCCGCAATGGAACATTCAAGACAGCACTCCCAGTAAATGAATCTATCAAATATGCACGTGAGCGCCGACGAGACGCGGCTATCTTCTTCATAGACTTTGAAAAGGCCTACAACCACGTCGACTGGGACTTCATGGATAGTGGTCTTGCGAAAATGAACTTTGGGGAGTGCTTTCGGGCATGAATCTCTACAATGCACAAAACCACCGTAACAAACATAATGGTAAACAGGCACCTGCCCCCCCCATTCCAACTTCAAGGTCGGTTAGACAAGGGGCCCGGTTGCTCCGTTGTTGTTCATCTTGGTGATGGAATCATTGGCGGCTATGATCCGGTCCACTCTCTCTTTTTTTTTGCTTTTTTTTTTTAAAGCTCCGATCTATTCGTGGGGAGTAGCAAGTGCTGGGAACCAGGCGCAGCATCCCTTATGAAAGTACATCTTTGCACATGAAATCATCAGGACATAACTAGTGTGCTGGAAACCAGGTCCAGCATCGCATATCAGCCCTTTCCTAAACCGTGGCCTGGCCAGGTATCGGAAGGAGATCCACTGGGGGGCACCAGCGGGGTCTCCTTCCGTCCCCTTGCCCCTGCCAACCTCATACTATCCTCATGCTGTCCTTGTGCGATTGTGTGCTGAGAGACTGGCTCAGCATCCCTCTTGAGAAAGTCGTTGTTGAAGAAAACTCAAACTTCTTGAAGGGCGGTCATTCAGCGTCAGGCACTTCCACAAGTGATAACGGGTGGGGGGGGAAGGGGTCTGGGAAGTCTGTCGCCGGTCTCAGGGGATTGCCAGGATCTATCACAGCCCAGTCCAAAAAGGACAAGCTTATAGTCTCTGGGCACCTCTCCCCCTGCCTCCCTCCCTCTCCATGGGGGTTATCCCCTGACCATGGTATCTGCCATCCACCCCCCCCTTCTTCCCCCCAACCATTCTTCACAAAAGCATGTGATAATTTTAGCAATGTCCTTCCTAGTATGCATAAAGCTCATTCGTTGTCTGGCTGTCTGCCACTGATTAGTGATCTCTGCTTGTACAAGTTGCCTAACCACCTCTGTTACCTCCCCCTCCTCCACTCCTGCCCCCTCGATTCCCAGGATGCATCTTCTCCACCATATCACCCAAAGTTTGTTTGCCCACCCGGAAGAAGT